CTTCCTTCCTTCCTTCCTTCCTTCCTTCCTTCCTTCCTTCCTTTCTTCCTTCCTTCCTTCCTGCCTTCCTTTTTTTCTTTTTTTGGTTTTTCGAGACAGGGTTTCTCTGTGTAGTTTTGCACCTTTCCTGGAACTCCTTCCGTAGACCAGGCTGGCCTCGAACTCACAGAGATCCGCCTGCCCCTGCCTCCTGAGTGCTGGGATTAAAGGCGTGTGCCACCACCACCTGGCTTAAATTAGATTTTTTTCTCCCCAGTCCAGATCTAAATGATATCTTTATTTTAGGGTTGACAACTCTAGGAAGATACTCAAGCCTTCATGGCAGGAGGAGAATAGTTTATTTCTAGGGGACACTAAGACCACTTTAGGTGCCAGAAGGTTGTGGGCAAGTGTAGGTGGTTGACTTTTTGGCATAGACTGCTGGGCTTCCTTCCATGCCAATTCCAGGTGTTGGGTGCCCTCAGGCTTGCCTCTTACTATTGGAAGGGCAATTTGATTAAACCAATTCTTACTAAACAGAGAGGGACTGATCCGTTTAGCCTCTGGATGTTTGCATTTTTAGGAAGGCAAGCTTATAAATCTGAGCATACGTCTCATTTAGAGATGGAGGGCATGCTGGCTTCCTGGATTAAGACTTTTGAGAGTGAAGAGGTGAAGACTATGGACTGTCCCAGCTAGGATGCTTTTGGCTGCCATAATCAGAGTGTCCATAGAGAAACGAGGAGATAGAATACCCATATTCTCTCAGGTGTGGAAGCACCTGTACCAGGTGCCCCAGGGTTGACTAACCCAACACCTCACTGTGGTTTGTAAGGACCAAGGTTCTCCCCATCTTTAGTCAGCCATTAGCTTCCTCAGCTTCCTGGCTTGTCCTAACAGTGCTCCTCACGTGTCCCCAAACAGCTGCACAGCTCTGGTGTCATCCAGATGCCAAAGGAGGCTGCTGTCTCCCTTATATTCTTTCCAAAAAAAGAGGTCCCTGGGAGTCTCTTCACTGTTGCTTGAAGTAATAATACCATGGCTGTTCTGGTGAGGAATGCATCACCTTGAACGGCACAGGCCCGCCCGGCTTCACCTTCTCAGTGAAGCCCGTCCTCCCTGATGGACAGGAGGATGTGCTGGTGTCATCTCTGCCAGAAAGGTGTGTGTGTGTGGGGGGGGGGGAGGTGGCTCCCGGGTCGGTCCCCAGGAGGACGTGCCACCCTAGGATTCGGGGCTTCTGCAAACCAGGGGACAGGGACCGTCTCGCCTCTGGGACGGAGCGTCGCGAGTGCTGGAGAAAGGGAAGTCACTCAGAGCAGAGCGCCTGACGAGTCTGGTGACACCGGGGTGACTTTGTGGGAGAGAGGGAGAGGCGCAGCCAGGGACGCTCTTTAGCTGTGTCACTCTCACCCGACACCGTCCCTCCGAGCAGTTGGGGTAACTCCCGCTTCTGGATGCACAGCCAGTGACGCTTTATTGATTTGTGCGGCTGCTCAGAGCCAGACTAATTGGGCCCCCGCGATTGGAACAGTGATTCAGCAGGACGGACTGAGGGGACGGGCACCGTCTTTCCACCTGCCAGCCAGCGCTGCCGTTCTTTCCTGCCCAAGGTGGTGGCAGTTCAGCCGGCGGCCATATGTACTGCCGTGGTCACCGCTGGAGCAGAGTGGGCTTGGGGGGGGGGGCGGGCTCTGAGATGGTGGTGGTGAGTTCTTCATCCCCGGTTCTCACAGCACCACCCTGTGTCATTGTGTCACACTGCTCCCCTCAACAGCCCCCGGTCTGCAGAGCTTCGGGAGCCGATGGAGAACAGCCCTTGCACTATCACCCCCCCAAGGATCTACGTCACAGCCAGTGCCGTGCCATGCCTCTGCCACGGTCCCCAAGTGGTCTGATGTGTTGAGGCAGCGCTTTCCAGCCTGAGTACCAATGTCCGATCTATCGCTTGATGTCCCTTGGCCTTTCTCAAGGGTCCTTTAAAGAAACAACTGGCGACAGTCCTGTTTGTAACTTTTTAAGCAGCATTTTCACAGTGCCTGTCATCTTGTTTCTTTTCTAACTCTGCTGATTGAACAGTGGGTGGCCAGGTAATTCCTGTATCGGCACAGACTCCAACAGCGATTTTAGTGAGAAGAAACAGAAAAATATGCAGGGATGGAAGCCATCCTATGGGACATTGTGTTCACCCTCGACTTCTGTGTTCTAAAAGGCACAAGCTTTAATAACTTACTTGAAAAAAAAAATGATAAACCCAGCCAGCGTCAGCTGTTGACATAACCCTGAGCTGACCGTCTGTCCTCGTCAGCACCCATCCTTACCAGCTCAGATCAGCGTGGGCCTTGCTCTGTGCACTGATTTCCATGGAGCGGCGTTTATCTTATAGCATTTGATAGCAGTAACCCCCGCTGCACTTGGCTGAATGCACAGCTCTTTCCTGCGCCTTACCCAAGCTTCCTATTTATGTTAGCTCGCACTGTCTTGTATGAGGCGGGACTCTAGAAAGGATGGAGCAAAACCTGGGTCCAGATTCTGGCTGGGCAGTTAGAAACTGTTTCAGGGGTGCTCAGGGCTCCCAGAAGCATTTTGTAAAGTGGGCAGGAGGATTAAATGAGAGTGTGTCTGCGAAGTTCCTTGTAGCATATAGCTGGCACATTGTGGGTACTAAGTGATGAGTGTTTTCTTTTTCTTGGGGGGGGGCACAGTTATAAATAAATGTCACTATAGCCGGGCATGGTGGTGCACGACTTTGATTCTAGCACTTGGGAGGCAGAGGTAGGAGCATTTCTGTGAGTTTGAGGCCAGCCTGGTCTACATAGTGAGCTATCGTACATCCAGGACTAGATAGAGAGACTCTGTTTTAAAAAAAATAAATAAAATAAATAAACAAAAGAATAAATAGATAGATAAATAAATAAAAACTGTCACTTGTTTTCAAACTTCTACAATTTTCTACTTTTCTATTATATTTTTGTATGTCACAATTGATTTTTGTCTACTGTGAGGCAATTACTATACAGGAAAAGAATTTCAGTACCTATATTTTTCTTTTCTGTTTTTGATATAGAGTCTCAATTTGTAGCCCAGGCTGTTGTTGAACTCAGAGCAATCCCGCCTCAGCCTCCTCCCCCATGCTGGCATGACCAGGCCTGGCCTACGGTGTCTTGCTCTGTTTTGATGACTTCACCTTGAAGGAGACATTTCTTACTCACTCTTCCTTGATTGATAAGGCTCCAGATCCGGAAGCGAAGTCTTCGCCATTCTATGGTTCTCAGGAGCTCAGAGGTGTTTTCCCACCCAAATCTCCAAAAGAAAACCTAGCCCATTCCCATCACGCAACTGTGCATGTAATTGTCTGGAGGAGAAGCGGAATACTTTGAAATATTCATGTGTTCGTTTGCTTATTCATTTCTTCATTCACGCGAGTGTCCAATCCGCATCTGCAAGTGTTGAGTACGGGCTGGCTGCTGTGGAAACGCTGGCTTCTTGGAGAATTTTATGGAGAAAGAGCATTTTGGGAAAGAAATTTAAAAAGGCAAACAGACGACAACACCTGTTTTATTTCAGTCAGTTACATCTGTTGTCAAAAAGAAACCAAAATGAATCTACTTAGGTTGGGCTCTTGGATGGATGTACACTGAACCCAGAAGGTAAAGTAGGGCTTTCTTTACTCGCGTGGGCCAGGAAAAGTGAGAGACGCGGCAGCCAAGCCCCTCGTACCCGTGACCCTCCCCTTCCTCTTCTTCACCTAGTGAATGTGAGAGGTTGGTGAACCCGTGCGTTAGGGGCAAAACTGTGCGCTTCCTGGGTTTCATAATTGACAGCAGAGTTTCAAGTTGGCCACCGCACATAGGGGGATGGTGACCTGCTGTAACTGGGAGACTGGTGACTTCTCTAACAGGTCTCTCATTAAAAAAAAATATGTGTATGGTGTGCGTGCCTCTGTGTGTGTGTGTGTGTGTGTGTGTGTGTGTGTGTGTGAATATGGGTGCCTGCATGCATTGTGTAGAGGTCAGAAGACAGCTCCTGAGTCAGGGTCTCCCCTTCCACTGTGGACTTTGGGGATTGAGCTCTAATCATCAGGATGTGCAGTTGAGTTTACCCACTGATTCGTCTCTCTGGCCTGCAAACCTCTCAGTTTGAAGGTCAGAGGCTCCCTTGATCCAGTTTGATTTTTCACGGTTTTCAGGTGTCTGTGGCTCGGTTACCCACAGCCAACCACACACAAGAAGATATTTTGAGACTGCATCTGTTTAACTTTTATTACAGTGTATTATCATAATTACTTACTTTTCTTGTTCTCTTACTATGCCTCATTATAAATTATAAGCCTTTATGTATAGGAAAGAATAGTAAATAAAGGGCTGGGTACCATTGGCAGTTTGGGATGCCCTCAAGATTCTTGTGTGCTCCTCTGATAAGAGGGCCTGTGTAACCACTGAGGGACCCGCCACCCACAGAATGACTTGGAACCCAGTTCTGTGAGTGCTGTGAAGGTTTGGGCTTATGAACTAATGTACTAATTAGTTATTAGCAATGAATATTAATAAAATGTCTGCCTTTGTGATGAATGGCATAGAGTCCTAATGGTGACCAATAGCGTTAGGAATGACTAATTATATTAATGACTAGTGATGGAAAAACCTTTCAAATACCTTTCCGTATACTTGGATATTAAGGATAATTAAAAATTTCATGAGTAGCATGAACATACAGAAGACAGTAATGGCTGCTTGGTCAGCAGCTTCCGCCAGTGTAGACCTGGGTCGGCGACAGGTACCTCCCTGTGTATATCCAGGTTTGGCCCAGGAGGTCAAGTACTGATTGTACAAGTCAGGGAGTTCACCTCGAGACTCTCTTGCGCCTCTAGATGAGGCCCAGCATTTAGACCAGAGCAAAATGCCCTGAGTTTTGTTGTTGTTTTTGGGACCCAGAAAGAGGCATTCAGTTGCTTCCCATGGCCCCGGTGCCCCAGGCTGGGCTTAGGTCTAGGACAGCCACTTGGATCTTTACGTGCTTGCTCTCTCCCCGCTTCAGTGGCAGCTGAGGGTCATCTGAGGATACCCGATGAGATGTGGTGCCTGTAGGCTCTTACGTCCAGGTGCCCGGGTCCGACGCTGACCCTGGCCCCACTGTGGTCACCGCTCCCTTCTCATTTCACGTGACACGAACAGAAGCACAGCCGATGAAGCCAGTTGTTGTAAGGTCATAGGTCCAGCCTGTGAATGACTGGACAAGGCTGGAGAGAAATTAGACCATGTCCCAATGTAATTAAAAAGGGTCGTGTTAGAAATTGAGCAGAGTAAACCCATGTGACGCTTCTCAGAACGGCACCTGGTACACCACCGAGATCCCAAGGTTTCAAAACAAAGCAGCGATGCCTTTTGGGTGATGGCTTTCCCCATAGGTTTTGAGTTATCTTTTTCTCACATGTGTCTAGTACAGCGTGCATACTCTGAGGCCAGCGCAAAGGGAGGCGCAGAACCAGCCTGTCAGTGGGGCTCAGTGAGTCCCTCTGGGGATTGGAAAGGGAGGTGAGGAGTGAGGGGGACATTGACACCGAGTCCCCACGCCTGTGGGGGTGGTATGTGTTTGGCTCCTCTCACTGGGTTCTTTTTTTTTTTTTTTTTTTTTTTTTTTAAGATTTACTTATTTATTATGGATACAACATTCTGCCTCCATGTATGGCTGCACACCAGAAGAAGGCGCCAGATCTCATTACAGATGGTTGTGAGCCACCATATGGGTGCTGGGAATTGAACTCAGGACCTCTGGAAGAAGTGTTCTCCACTTCTGAGCCATCTCTCCAGCCCCCTCTCATTGAGTTCTTGTCCTCCGCCTCTCACATCATCAAACTCACACCCAGATGCTAGATAAAACTTCTAATCATTATCTCATCACTCAAGAATCCACAGTGAACCTAAGTGACAAAATTCTAAGTTTTTCATCTAGGTGGACAAACCTTTTTGTCAAGCTTGTATGTTTCTTTATTCCATTTTTTTTTAAACGATGAAAGGTCTTATTTCATGAAGACAACAGGAAATAAGGCAGGGTGAATATATCTCCTATCAAAAAATGCTGGGGACCAGGAGTGTTTGAGGCTTGTTTGGATTAAGGAATTTTACACGTATATGATGAGACATCTTGGGGATGGTCCCATGTCTAAAGACAGAATTCACTTATGTCTCCTATACATTTTTACACTTGTAGCCCGAAGGTAATTTTATACAATAGCTTTAGTGCTCTTGCGTTTCGAATGTAGCCCGTCACGAGGTCAGGCGTGGAAGTTCCCCTCCGTGATGTCATGCGAGCATTCAGGAAGTCTCAGATCTTGGGGCATTTCTGGTTTCAGAACTGTGAGTCGGACAGGCTCGGTGCGTGTCTGGTAACTGCATCAGTTCCAGCCACGCAGCTCCGGCAGGAGTACCCCCTCTACCCTTTAGAAGTTGATGGAGGACAACTCTGGGCTAGGGATTGGGTCAGCTGTTGAGAGCTTGCCTGCCTACCATGTGCAGAGACCTAAGTTTAGTTCCCAGTCCCCCAAACAAACAAACAAACGACAAAACACCGGTAAGAACAAATCTGGGAGTGGCCATGGCATGGTTTATGGAAGCTGTCTTGATCAAGGCCTTGGGAGCCTGGTAGACCCACCTGGAGCTGGCCCCAGGCTTCCCTGCTGGGCAGATTTGGAAAAATCACAGGAACGCTCAGAGCCCTGATTAGTGACATGACATGTACCTACACGTCTCCCATAATTGTGTGGATTCAGAGGAACACGAGTGCTTGGCGCAATGCCGGGTACCCAGCCAGGGAGCACCTAGCCAACGGTCGCCAGGGTTACTTCTGAATGCGGTTAGCTTCTCACCATCTTGGACTTGGTACAGTTATAGGGACAGAAGCCAGGAGGACAGTTCCCACCTCCTACGCGTCCTCTAGAGGAGACCCAGGCCGCGGGTAGGAAGTGTACCTTCCTTGGCGGGCGCCATGGGCTGACTGACAGTTGGCTTGGTGGATTTCAGGTGCTCGTCCTGGCTGTGAAGCAACTCTTCCCAAATTTCGAATTCATGTGGCTGGTGGATGAAGCCAAGAAGAACCTGCCTCTCGAGTTGGACTTCCTAAATGAGGGGAAGAATGCCGAGAAAGTGGCCCACATGCTCAAGCACTTCGACTTCCTAAAGGTAGGAGGGCAGGGCCGTCGGGAATGAGTCCTGCCCCGGGTGTCCCCACTTAGAAGGTGTGAGTTGGGACATCTCTTTGCCAAAGTTTCTTACTTAAGATGAGTGATTGGTAATTGGACCCATATTAACGCCCTTGAAGGCAATTTCCAAAGGAATGAAGCCTGCTTATGACTGTTGACCTGGCAGTCAAGTGAACGGAGCTGTTCATTGCATAGAGTGAGCTGAGCTGAGCACCCCGTGGGACTGTGTGCTGTGGCCTCTGCCTCCAGAGAACATGGAGTGATAATGGTGACGGTGACAGCTAACACTACTGTGCTCGGATCCTGTCCCAAAGATGCTTATTACATTTGCTCATGTAATACCCAGTTCTGTTACAACAGCATCCCTAGCCATCACTGCAGCATGCAAAACTTTGCAACAGAGACCTCAGGACTCACGAGAGAAACAGGCACGGAGCACAACACTCCAAAACGTCAACGACACAGAAAAAGAAGCATAAGTCTGCGGGGCCTCACACGTGTGTCTCCTTGCATGTCCCGTATTTCGTATTCCTTTTCCTGTTTTTATTGTTTTCTTGATCTCTTGCTGTGGTAGGCACCGTAGGTTGGCCCCTGCTCTGGAAACTTTCTACTTCATGAGAGTAAGCAGACCCACATGTTGCCTGTGTCTTACAAAGTGTCTTGCACACAACACACACGTTTCTTCGTTTTGGTGGCTTCCCATGAGGAAGTGCTCAATCTCTCCAGGACAAGGAGCTCAGAGGGACTCCAAAAAGTGCTGACTGTGGAGAGGCGACAGCAGTGTTCAGGGAGCGTTTTAGCGTGCTCGTTTAGTTGTGGTGCTCTGACGGTGCTGACATCCTGATGGTGGCCTCTTCCAGCCCGGGCCCATGCACAGCTGTGTCTCGGGAAGAGTTCCAGTTGTGGCCCAGGCTCTCTGACTCTGTGTCTGCTGCTCACCTCAGAGTTTCTGCCACCTTTTACCTGGCAGACGTGCCCCTCGGTGCCAGAGTGCTGAGCCAGACAACCCAGCAATCTCCTCCAGTGTTTCCATGGAAACAGCAGAATCATCCCCTGGCTGGAGCCAGCTAGCAACTGCCAGACCAAGACATGTAATAATAATAATAACAACACAGATTTTTGAAACAAGGACGCCAAATTGATAAATAATTAACATACTGATCTGACCCACGGCTGCCAGAACTCACATACCGTTCCTAAGACAATGGAGGAGCGGAGGCTCCTGAGTCATTAATTTAGCCTAAGCACATCATAAGCAGGAAGCAAATTTCTGCGCTGCAAACCCAGCTCAGCTTTTAAAACTGTAGATAGATTGCTCTCGCACGCTGGCACCCCATCACAACATCTGTGCGTAATTAAGCCTCAGCAAAGAGTTTGCCTCTCATGTGCGAGACCTTTCTAGTGCTTAAGGGGAGGGGGGGCTTAATAACCCCGACCCTTCACGGTAAATCTTTGGGCTTCAGCCCATCACTGAATAAATAGAGAGGAGGTCGGAAGACGGTGAAGGGCAGCCAGACTGAACAGTATGGGTCTGAGAATGCATGGACGAGGGCCGCGTGCCAGGCAATCAGGCTTGTGATGAACCTGGGGGAGAGTTGGGGACAGGCAGGAAGGGCAAAGCTGTCTAAGCATGGGTTTGGAACCGGAAGAGATAGGAGCATGCCTATGGGTAGAGTGGGGACCAGGGTGGGTTGCATCGGGCAGGGTCATGCCAGTGTTTCTTGCATGAGGTCGGGAGCCTGAGGGATATGTGTGCTTTTGGAGAAATGTCGTAGCTTATTAGACTCTCAGATGAGCAACACGTATCGTAACGGCAGACCTTTTAATGTGTTAGACATTCCTGAAAGTGTTGCACATGTGTTTACTCTTTAATCTTTAACAGTCCCATGGTGTCGTCTTCGAGCCTCTGTCATCAGTGGGGAAGCAGAAGTCCCCGGTGATCAAGTCATTGACCTAGGGTTACACAGCAAACCAGCAAGGGGCAGAGGCAGGGTTAGGGTGGGCACAGCCATGGCTTCAAGCCCGCACGTCAAACTGCCTTTGTAGTAGTTCTTGGAAAAATTTCTGAATCACAGAGACACGTAAGTTTGCATGAGTGTATTGCGTTGACTCAGCCCTGAGATGGATCGGGACCCCCCTGAGTCACTGTGTAGCCATCACAGGACGGCCGGCGTTTGACTAGCCGCTCAGCATCTGGTCTCTCCATGTTAATGGTAAGTGAGGTGAAGCGGCTCCCTCGATAACCATCAACATCTCTTACTGGGTGCGCACTTAGATGCAGAGAGACTGTGCCTGTGTCCATAGTCAATACAGCAAGTAGGAGGCTGAGCTGTGTTGTGCCTGGCCAGGCTCTGACTGCAGAAGGAATGTACCCTGAGGGTCTGGACGAGCCACAGCACATGGACAAAGCAGAAGTACAAGGCCAGGCCCCACCATGAGGTCAAGGCTACCCAGGGTCTTGGAACTTTTTATGGACTGCTTCTTGACGTGGGAGCAGGTGGAACCCTCAGGTGGGCCTCTGTGGAGCTGTCCTGTATGACACAGACCATAGGCCAGGGTCCCATAGCCAGTGGTGGCCCTGCTGGGGCCAGTGAGTACCTGGCGAGATGCCTTCCAGAGCTTGCTTTCTTTATTGCTGCCCGCCTGTGTTTATTTCTCAGTTTTCCCTTCCTGGATGGAGGAAGTAGATGATGGGCAGTGGTAAGATGTAGCCCTTTGGGGACTTGAGGGCTAAGTCATGCAGTTTGCTGTTCTGTGGTTTTGTGGCCATTTCCCTGTGATAATCTTCTCTATTTTCCAACCCTGAATAGGGCATGTGATTATCAGACTGGAATGGTCAGTCACATCATAGGGAATGAAGGTCCGGGAGGGAGGCCCTAGCTTATCTCTGCCCCTGCCTGCCCAGGCAGCCAGATAGCCTGCCTGCTGCCTTGGGCTCTCACACCAACCTTGGTGCTCTCCTGGCTGTCCTCCAAACGGCCCAGGAGGTCCTGCTGGAGCTCCAGCCTAATGTTTACAGAGCCCCAGGGACCACTGCCGAGCTCAGGTCTCCAAACCAATGGAAGAACTTAACCCCCAAGTAACGGGCCTTTCCTCAGGAGACCCGGAACAACTGTAACAACCGCCATGCACTGGTCTGGAGTTGACAAGTGTGTCTAGATCCTACATTCAAAACAACGGAAGAGGTGCGGGTTTCTTGATCTGTCTAGATTTCCAAATGGCGAAAACCTAGCTTAGGCTCATCACAAGGGCTTCGCTTGTGGGTAGCTCCGCCCCTTGCAGGGCCCATCACCAGTGAAGGAAACAGGGGTGGGGGTGGGGGGGTACCAGGAGCTAAGAGAATGCTCGATGCTACACCTGTCTCAGAAGAACTAGGGGAAGAATGTAGCTGGACTCAAGGGCTGTCTACATGGGTCTTGGGGATGGGTGAGGGAGGAGGACTCAGTCAACAGAACACTTGAAGCAGTCACCCTTGGTTTTTTCTCCTTGAGAAGAAATAGTTTACCAACATTTTGGAGAAATAGCATGCTGAAAGCATCACGGCTTTGGGGCCCTGACTGCGTCGCCTGCTTATGTGGTATCCTGAAGCCTGTGGTGCCCTCTGACCCCTTGCTGTTCCTGAGGCAACCTGTTTTCTTTTGCTTTTAGGTGTTTTTAGAGTCACAGAGGGTAGGAATGTGTCAATTAGTTTATAATTTGTTTGCAAATAACTGAAAGCCCAATCCAACAGTTTTTTTTTTTTTTTCTGAGACAGGGTTTCTCTGTGTAGCTTTGGAGTTTGTCCTGGAACTCACTTGGTAGACCAGGCTGGCCTCGAACTCCCGATCTGCCTGGCTCTGCCTCCCGAGTGCTGGGATTAAAGGCGTGCGCCACCACTGCCTGGCTTAGTTGTTGTTGTTTGTTTTTAGTGTTGTCCTTCGGGCTGGAGGAATGGCTTGGCAGTCAAGAGCATGTACTGTTCTTCTAGAGGACCCGGGTTTGGTTCCCAGCACCCACATTAAGCGGCTCACAACTGCTTGTAACACCAGCTCCAGGGGATGCGATGCCTCTGGTCTCCTTGGGCATTTGCACTCATGGACACATATACCCCCCACCCCCGTCCCCATCCCCATAATTAAAAATAAGTCACAAAATGTTTATTGTCTTTATAAAGCAGAAAAAAGTACCTCAGTACCTGCTGAGGATGCTTAGTAGGTTGACAACATCAGGGCTGGTACCTGTGATTCTCTGAAGTTTTTAGTTTTTAAACCCCTTACGTTTGCAAGGTGGCAGTTACTGTTTCCAGAATCACCTTTACTTTCAGGGTGGGAGAAAGAGAAGAATACCACAAACGTCCTTTTATGAAGAGAAAATAACCCTTCCCTGGATCCTCTAATAAACTGCCACTTACATTTGATTGGCACGAGCAGCGTCACGTGACCACCTACTATGGGGCAGGCAGGGAAAGGGTTTAAGTTTCCCCCGTGTGGGGAAGAGGAAGATGGGTAATAGACAGTGGGTTAAGATCCAGCATTTTCTGCCATAGGAGGCTGGTAGGAAACTGGCAGATTTACCCTTGGTCCATTGCCTCAACGTATCCATCTCCCAGGTGCTAACACCGCAGCAGAGTTAGGGCCCTGCGAGGGTCTGATGGAGGGAGAGGCAGAAGGAAACAGCTTTTAACACTAGTGTTAGCTACGTGTGCAACACTGACCATGGTACCACATGGAAACAACCCAAGGGAGGAAAGATTTGTTCTGGCTTCCATCTTCAGAGGGTTTCACTTCATGGTGGTGAAGTCGTTGTGGAGCTTGTGGCTGAGAAGGGTATATATAGTCCTCTTTCCATCACAGGGGACCAGAAAACAGGACTTCTGGATCCAGGGCCTGAGCTCCTGTACCAAAGGCCAGCCTCTACTGAGGCCTTCTTCCACCAGCCAGGACCTACCTCCTAAAAGTTCCTAGACCTCCCAAAAGAGTGCCCCCCCCCCAATTTCTTCAATTGGAAATGTCCACCACAGGCTCATCATGCTTTGAAGGACCAGGGCCTTCAAAGCATGATGAGCTGTGGTGGACATTTCCACTTGAAGTCTTAACAATAGCAGCTTCCCACCATATCTATTATAGGGTCTGGCTTGCAGTAGGGTGGGGTGAGGGTGGGAGGTGAGTGATAATGGAAGGGAAGGGATATAGGGGAGTGGCATTGGGGGGGATCATGAAGCTGCCCCCGCCTCCGTGAGGGACTCGTGAGGGAGTCCTGCTGTAACGGCCGCCTGGCTGAAGCCGTATGCCTAGTCCTCACCCAAGGCTTTCCTCTCTGGCCGTGGCTCCATCCTAAAAGCAGTATGTGGCAGTGTCTGGCTCCCGGCACTTGACTAGCGGCCGGCCCTGACCACAACCCCCTCCTCTGATGAGACTCACCTTTTCCTTTATCTCCAGGTCCCCCAGATCTACTGGGAGCTGTCCACCAAGAGGGTGCTCCTGATGGAATTCGTGGAGGGAGGGCAGGTCAACGACAGGGCCTACATGGAGAAGAACCAGATAGACGTGAATGAGGTGAGGCGGGGCTAGCATGTGGTTGGGGCTGCCTGGCTAGGCCTGGGGCTCTGAGGCCCTAAGAGCCGGGCCCACGGCCATCCTTCAGGGAGGGTCCCCCTACGCTTCCCCATCCAGTCCTGGGTCTATAGAGGCAATAGGGACAAGCAAGCCTCTGAGCGCGAGGTTGCTGAGGCCATCTTTTCTCAGAGCAGCCAAGTCTATACAGCTGAGCTGCGGTACCCAGTCAGGGGGTCAGTCTCTTAGTCTCTTTGGTGCCTGTTTATCAACTCCCATCCTGCCCTCCTGGGCCACCACTGCGGGACTCAAGGTGTGGAGCAAAGGACTGTGGCAGTCACCTGGGTCAGTTTCACAGAGCACGGGAGAAGATGAAGCTGTGTCTTTACCTCCTGTTCCCCTGGTATCAGGAAAACTGACTAGTGGACCAGGGTCGGTACCCAACCTTCTGCTTCCTGGTCACCCCTGGGCTCCCTAGAAAAGAGGAAGTTGTTAGTGTAGTCCCCTGCATGTGTGGGGTCTGGGTACTCAGTGTGCCCAGGCTAGAGCCAGACATCATCAGCTAAATCCTCAGTGGGGATTACGACCAGGATTAGAACCCAGGTCCTTTCTCCTCCACCTTCTCCATCTCCCTCCCTTGTGGGTCCACAGTAGAACTTTCAGCCACTTGGATGATGGATACATCAGTAACTGTGCCAGGAAATTGGCAGCACACCGGAAACCTGCATGTTCCCCTTGCCTTCAGCCCCTAGGGTAGGTGTAGGGGTGGCGCCTGAGTGGTTCACAGAGTCTGACTACAGTGGGGTGCTGGGCCCCACTGGGTGACCACCTCTAAAATCCCCCTACAAGGAAGCAGAGCCTCTGCCTGCTAATTAGGAGATCCAGCACCTCTGCCCTGTGTTATCACTGGCATCTCCTTCTTCCAGACACGGGCTTACCCCCATCCATTCATTTCTCTGGATCCAGCAAGCTAAGGCTGAAATGGCATCTTATCAGAGGTGGCTCTGATTTTCCAAGACGAGTGTAAACACAGACGCATGTGCTCTGATGGCGTGGCTTGCTTGTGACCGGACCAGCTGGAGATTGGGGGACTCTGGGCAGGGTGGACCCTCTGAGTCCGGGCCCCTTTGTTCCTGCCTCCACCATTCCTGTGCGTGTGGGAAAAGCCATGATCCAGACAGACAAACCTTAGCGAGCACCCAGATCTTTCAAGAATGAAACAAGCCAGACTCAACCTCTCTGGTCCTCAGTTTTCTTAGTGGAGGTGATGGAGCAGCTGACCTCTAACAAAGGATCCTTTCTATTTGAATATTTTGTAGCCTAGTGACTCTGTGGCTTAGTGAGCACTGACTCAGGATGGTCCAGGAACCCTCTGTTTCAGAACCGTTAGGGGAGTTTGTGTAGCTATGCAGATTCCTGGGAGCCACCCCAGGGTGCACATGAGGATCTGGGGTGGGAAAGGGTTGCAGAGTCTCCACGTGGGTCCACAGAAGACCTCACCCCAGGATAAAGCCTTCAAGCTGTCAGTGCTCATGTGTACCTGCGGCACAGGCGACCCTACCGAGGAGCCTGCCTGGGTTCCTCTGTTTATGTCCCTGAGCCTGGCAGCATATACATCCAGGGATCATATTTAAGAGCTGGTGGCAGCGATTCTCATTGATCTCATTAAAAGCAAAGGTTGTGTGGGAGCCTTCTGCAGGCAGACAAGGCTGCTGCTTCTAGCCACAGAAGGACTATCGATTGCAAGGCCTTTATCGAAGGTTAATTGGATTTCAGTTGAGTGTGGGTTGAAGACCCTGCCGGGGCCGAGGCCTGGCTTAATTGGCATGAAATTAGTCAAGAGAAAGGTGACTGAGTTGGTACCACAGGGCAGCAGGGACAGATGCAGGCGTCCTGGTGGGCAGACATCACCTGTTTATGAAGACTGACTGGGTCCAGGGGCTCTGGGGAGAGATGCCAGCCAGGTACTTCCTTAGGGAGAGAGCTACTCGGAAAAGAGGGCCTTAGTTACATGGTCTTGGATTCAGCCCTGTTCCTCGGGATCCCAAGGAGGAGGAAGAGGAAGGAGGAAGACTATAGAGTTTGTCCCCTCACTCACCAGGGAGTAAACTTCTGTTAGAGTGGGGATGGATTTAGGACTTAGCTGGAACCTTAGAAACTTTCTAACTAATCTTTTCTTTCAGGACCCTCAGCACCTGTTTTTAGAGATGGCAGGACTAAGCCTCCTTGGAGCTGAGATCACAGGCCCAGAGCGCCTGTAGCTGGCTCAAGGCGCCTTAGCCTTTGCTCTGTTGCCGGCTGTCCTCAGGCCATGCCCCTGCTGTCTCACGTTGGCTGCTGTGGTTACCCCATCTGCTCTTCTTGTGATGGGGTGTTGCCTTTCCTTTCCTTTGAAGTCAGAGTCTCCTTTCAGCATGTTTTTTTGAATACCTATTATGTGCAGGCTATTGAGTACCTATTATTCTGCCCATGTGTGCTAGAATGGAAATGTGGACAGAGCCAAGCGTGGGGCTTCCAAGAGACCTGGTGCTGGACAGGATGGGTACCTGGAATTGTCTGGTTCTGCCATCCATTGCTCCAGTACCCTCAAGTGTTATATTTGAGATAGGAATCTCAGTCCTTCGTGCTATGGGACAGATGCCATCATGCATGCGAGTTTTATAAGCAACAGGACCATGTAAAAACATTTTCTATAATTCATAATTGCTGAGGATATTATTAATCACGGAGGCATCTCTTCCTCTGTAGAGTCTTTGAGAGCCTCTGTTCCCTTCTTCTCCCACTCTGTAGCCTGTGAGTGCATAGATTTGGAGGTACTTGATTGCCATGCCGTGCCATAGATCAGAAAAGCCAGGCTGAAGTTTCTACCTTGGCCTTGATTTCCTTCCTTCCTGTCACTGCCCGGTGTGGACAGAATGGAACCTTCCCAGTTTTGCTCAGTATTGTACCAGCCTCATCGCCCTCTGGCTGGCTGGTATGTGAGGACGCTGGAGATCCAGTTCCTGAATCATTAGAAAGAAAACTATTTCTGCTCTCTAACCCCCATCACTCCTCGATGCTCGGGGATGGTAGGCGGTCCCGGGTGTTCCCGAGGATTTGATTTCTCACAGCAGAGGTATTGGTTGGGCCAAAGGAATTTTCTGGAGCCACTGTTTTTGGAGTCTAGTGCTGGCTCTAGACTGTCACTTGTCATCTAGCTGTTCTGCTGTGGTGTTGCTGTTAGGAACCCTGGTTCCCCTGCGTGCAGGAGACTGTGGGTGACCTAGAGGATCCTTTGACAGCTGAAGCAGAGCTCTGAGCCTACTGCATATGCCCAGTGCACGATGACAGTGAAGCCCCAGCTCTCTGGTTTTCTTGGCAGGACAATGTTTGTCAAAGGGCAGGGGATTGTGGGTGGTATTGTGTTCCCCAAAATATTGTGTACCTTAATAGACTTATCTGGGGTCAGAGAACAGAAAAGCCTCTAGTTAGGCAGTGATAGCACACACCTTTAATCCTAGCATTCCAGAGGTAGACATCCATCTGGGATCTCTGCGAGCTCAAGGCCACATTGGAAACAGCCAGGCATGGTGACTCACACCTTTAATTCCAGGAAGCAAGCCTTTAATCCTAGGGAGTGATGGTAGAAAGCAGAAAGGTATATAAGGCTTGAGGACCAGAAACTAGAAGCATTTGGCCTGGTTAAGCATTTGGCTGGTTAAGCATTCAAGCTTTTAAGCAGCAGTTCAGCTGAGAGCCATTGGGATGAGGACACAGAAGCTTCCAGTCTGAGGAAACAGGACCAGCTGAGGAATTGGCAAGGTGAGATAGCTGTGGCTTGTTCTGTCTCTCTGACCTTCCAGTATTCACCCCAATAACTGGCCTCAGGTTTGATTTTATTAATAAGAACTTTTAAGATTCCTGCTACAGGGGATATAGGGAGGGGAGACTCCTTTTCCTGGTCTTTTACATTAACCCAAGCAGGGTGGAAGGGTATGCAATGTATGTGGGGTGAGTTGTCACCCTAGGAATGAGACTCCAGATGCCAGCAGCGGTTCCTTCCTCACATGTGTTCTGGTGGCAGTGACCCCTAGATTTCACTTTCTGGACTCAGGACGACTTGCGGGCACCTCTGATAGATGAAGTCTTTCTTAACTCACAGGTGCTTACGTCTGGCTCTCATGTGAAGCCTGGTAAGGCCCAATTAAAGAAGCGGTATTGGCTTTCTTTTTATGATAAAATGCTTCCTGTTGTTAGACGAATAACTCGAGGAAGAGTTTGAGTTTATTTTGGCTCATGGTTTCCAAAGGTTGCATCCATCATGGCCAGGAAGGCACGGTGGTTGGAGTGGCTCTGTCTGTGGAAGGGCTCATGGCACAGTGGGTCTTCATATAGCCAGAGATCAAAAAGCAGAGGTCTCACGTGGAACCAGGGCCAGCTATCACCTGAAATGATCTACTTTTCACCAGCCAGACCCTGTAGATGAAATTCTAAACAGTCTTAGTAAATAAGAAACACAGAGCCAAACACAGTGGTAATAGCCGAAGAGGTCAGAGAACTAGGGAAGAGTCACAACTACCTTATCTTACCATCTCCCCACCGTCGCTTCCCCCGAGAGAGCTTCTTCCTGTCTGACTTGTGTTTTTATTGCTTTCCTGTTCTGCCTTCTCATTGGCTCTAAGCCCAGCCACATGACTTTCTTGTTCATTGCCTGTCTATACAGACCTCTAGATCTCTATGGTTGGTACTGGGATTAAAGGCTCTTGTCACCACACTTGACTGTGTCCTTGACCACACAGAGACTCTGCCTGCCATGTGATGGGATTAAGGGTATGGGCTACCACCGCCTGACTGCTGTTTATGGCCATGTGACCTCGCAATGTGACCTCTGATCTCCAGGCAAACTTTATTTATTAACATACAAATAAAATCACATTTCAGCACAATTGAAATAACACCACAAGACCCCACTTGCTAAACACGCCACCACCTTCCAAATTAGTGCCACCTCTGAGAGCATCCGC